CGGAAAGGGGGATAACATTTGAAATGTATATAAATAAAATAATTTTTTAAAAGTCTCATCTCCTAATTTTATCCCATCAGGGATCAGGGCTTCATTATATGGGTTTTGTGGGAAGATGAACTTGAGTTTATAGCAGGGAAGAAATGTAAGAAGGCTCCTAGATTCCTCTTGGGTGTTGTGTTTCACCTTGGCCTTGGCTGCTCCAGGAAGTTTGCTCTAGCCTTTCAAGATAAATTGCAACTCTTGGAGTCTAAAGTTCTGACTGGTTGGCATTATGTCCTATCACCTGGTGTAGTTCCTGGTGCAAACTCATTTTTTCAAGGCTATGCTTTCTATTTCAAGGAAAAACACTTTCCAGTAGTGGGCTGGCCACCATTTATTAAATAATGCACAGGTATTTTCCTCCTCAGGGACAAACTTAAGGAAGGTCAAAAAAGGGGCAAAGGTTGGGATTCTGATTATATCTTCTTCCCTAATGAAATATTTGCACGTGAATCCTTTTAGTACCATACAGAGCCCTTCATTCTCATTTTCTTCAGCCTTAGGCAAAGAGATAGAATCATGATAAACTTTGAGCTTATTCTAGGGGTTGAGAAGCATGATTTGTGGGCCAAATCCAGCCTGGTGTCTACTTTTGTACACTAGCAAACAATAATAATAGTTTGGCATTTTTAAATGGTTACAAAATGAGAAATATAATTTTTAGTAACACATGGAAACTTTGTAATATCCAAACCTTGATATTCATACATGGAGTTTTTTTTTGGAACGCAGCCACATCTTTAGTTGATGCAAATGATGGCACAGAAACCTCAAGAACAACTTTTAATAATTGTAGAGACTATATAATATACAAAGCTACAAGTATTAACTTTCTGTATCTACAGATAAACTGTTTGCAAACTCCCAAGCTTCACTGTGATAGAAGGTTTGTTATCTGAGATGTTAGAATAACTCTAGTATATGATTGTTCACATCCATCTTAATGGTGATAATAGGTTAGTATAACATACGAATGAATGAATTAACGAATGAATGAATTAATAAATGAATGAATTTCCTAGCTTTGCAGTGTGGGGACATGTGGCTTGAATGGGCCTCTGAATCTCTCTCTTGGACAGCATTCACTCATCTGTGTTGTCACCATGACATGAAGTACTTCTTTGTCACTCTAGACTGAAGATAAGCATTCTATGCCTCCTCAGTTAAGTCCCCAAATTAACTGAGATGAGGAGCAGTAAAACAAGTGAGAAGAGAGTCACATATACAGAAGACCTATTCATCATGGTGGAGCCTCCTGCTAGGTGCTGTGAGTGGTGAGTGTTACAGGTCTGGAGACTTCTGAGTTCAAATTCATGAGTTTTCACTTATTAGAAAGAAAATATAGCTTCGATCCCCCAGAGTCACGACTGCTTTTGATGGATGCTGAATTAGGGACTGTTGCTCACTAAGTGACATGGTTTTCTTCTCCACTTCCTTAGTGATCATGACTGGAGTCAAATGTAACAGCAAAGGAAGGGGCACAGTGGAAAGAAGAGAGTCTTCACGAAGGTGGAATGACACCCATAACCACGCCTGGGCCACCAGGGGATACCATGCTCCTCCCAGTTTTTAGAAGCTGAGACTACAGAAAAAGAACCATAAATCATTCACAGTTTCAGAGAGTAAAGTGTGTTACGTGTGACTAGACACTTAAAAGGGTTAAAGAGAAGAAGTGTTAGAAAAAAACTTCACACGTTTGGGTTTGCATCAGTTGGTGTTTCAAAGGGAAACTGATGACAGAAGAGTGGTAAGGGGTGTAAACCACAGAGCTTAAAGTAAGAGCAGAGTACAGGACAGCCCACAGAAAGATCAAACTAGAAAAGCAAGATGCAGGCATTGAAAGGAAGCAGGCAGGGAGAGCTGAGACACCTTTCAGCTCTCTGAGTGCCTGCTCTGCTCTGAACACACCAACCTCACAGTGTCTGGTGGCTTATTTGCAGCGTATTAGAGTTACTAGTTTGGCTTGGAGAGGTTTTAATTTGTCAGATAAATGCTAAAGAAATAAGAAAAGAAAACTCGTTTCGGCACATCTAAGTTAGTCATTAATCAATGTAAAATGACAAGGATTCATCAGCCCCAAGTTTCTGTAGCTTGTAGCTTGCCCCATGGGATGTAACAATGTAGGCTACAGATATTTAGACATATTTATTATCTTGAATTTGAATATCAAATGTGAACCATTTGAAAAATCTTATCAGAATTTTGCAAACAAAATCTAATCCATGAAGTATTTTAAGATAATATTATTTTACTTTGAGCGTGGTGGTCCATGCCTTTAATCCTAGCATTTAGCAGGCAGAGGCAGACATACCTCTGAGTTCGAGGCCAGCCTCGTCTACAGAGGGAGTTCTAGACAGCCAGGGAAACAGAGAGACAGAGAAACCCTGACTAGAAAAAACAATAACAAAAATTACTTCAATTACATTAAATAGTGCAAAGAAAATTTCTGGGCAACAGAGGGTCATGTGGGTCACTACTGTGGCCCTTAGTCAGAAAAAGAGGTATTTTAATTACCACATGCTAGATGAATCCATTTTAAATATTTTCTTACATGGAGAAATACAATTATCAGAAGACAAGAAGATTATTATTCAAACTCTGTATTGGGTACAATAGTCTCAAAGTAGGTATCAGAGCTCTCTGGGGCCTTGGATGCCACCAGCTTATCACTTTTAAGTGTCATCAGCTACCGAAGGACTATTAAGAGGCTGGGTGTGGTGACTCAAGCCTTTAATCCCAACACTGGGGAGGCAAAGGCTGAAGGATGTTCTCTGAGTCTAAGGTCAGCCTGGTCTACATATTTAGTTCCAGGCTAGGCAGAACTACTAGTAAGACTCTGAATCAAAACAAACAAAGAAACCAACAACCCCTCCTTGCCCCTATTAGGAGCTGAAAGAGTATGCCAATCACAAGGCTACTTCTTATATACACATACCCCACCTTTACAAGTAACCACTTAGATGTTCACATTAATATTATAAAAATTCCAGCTGTGCACAGCAGTGGACATTTTTAATCTCAACATATAGAAAGTAAAACCAGGCAGATCGTTTTGAGTTCAAGGCCACCAAGGTCTACATAGTGAGAATTGAGTGAGTTCCAAGCGAGCCAGGGCTACATAGTAAGAATTTGTCTCACAAAACAAAACTCAAGGTAAGTAATAAGCAATTGATTATATGCCCATAATTTTTCTTTGTAATTTACACAAAGTATTGTAACAGGACTCCAGACTTTAGTAGGTCACCAGACCTTAGCACAACTGACTTCATGATGGAAGTACTATTCAGGCTGTAAAACTCAGCTCTTAGATGGTATCACCTGCCAAAGGGAACTGAAACAAAGGACTAATCCATCAAAGTCCATATAGTTCTGGGAAAGTCTCAAAATGTAGTAACTTTGCTTCTTAGCTTCTGTGGTTCTGGTTCTGGCTAACTGTTCTTGTTAACTGAAGTGTGTTAAGCAGGATTTCCCTCCCTCCCTCCCTC